AACAATTATGGAAAGAGATTCGTTGTAATGTAATGTAAGTACAGTAGTTGCCCTTATCTCATCCAATCAAGCTAAGATAGCCTCCTTAGAATTTATAGTGCAAAATATTTTCTTAACGTGCAGCAACAAATCCGTACTGCTAGAAACCCAAATTGTAATCCCAAATTATTGCTCCATTACTGTTAGAATCAATATCTATTCTAAGCATTTGCTTTTTCCTTGTGTTTCCTGTAACTGTATATATGATCTACTTTATATTTCTTCTATCATTCTGACAGGACGATGATATGGTGAGTTCAAGTAATTCGGCAACATCACAAAGATTAGCAGTTGAAAAGTTTACTGTTATTGCAAATTGTTGTGTGTTGTGTATACATCTTACAAACAAAGGAGTTTGGAAGAAAATTTTACAGTTGTCCAAGAAATTGTTCGGAGGACAATTGTAAATATTTTAGATGAATGGACGAAGCTATTGACTAAATAGTTGAAGAGAACATTACAAACGTTTGAACAAGTGATGTCTTGATCAACAAAATTTTGAAGATGTTAAAGTCCTTATCAAAATATTGATTTTAGTCAATATTGTAGTCATAGCTGTTATTATCATGGGACAATGTTGTTACAATTAAAAAAATAGAATTATGAAAATTTCAACTATTTTCATGTATTAGTTTATGTGAATTGAAGTATGTACTTATGTGACTCTTAATTGTTTGGTTTGAAAGAAATGCATTTGAACCTTTGTTTAATTAATGGAAGAGCATTTACTATGTATTGGATCTACTTGTATGTGTCTAAATTTCTCATGATGAGTTTCCTATCTTTATTTTATGTGGTTGAGAATGTGTATCTTCGTGTCTTCGGTTCTTGAATATGACAAATTACTTCTAGTTGGATTTACTTTAAAATCATTGTTGAATATAATAAATTAGTTATTGTCCAATTATTAATTTGCCAAAAATTTTGGACAATAGAAATTGTTGTGATCTCTTCATCGAGATTCACCTAGAGAATTCTTTAATCTTTCTGATGATAGTAAGAACATAAAAATTGGACAATATTTGAGTGATATGTGATGATTTTATCATTGCGGGGTGGTTCTGATTCTTTTATTACCACGAATGATGAATGTTTGCAATTGCTGTGATTTCTTCGTTCAGATTCCTTGGGAGCAGTCAACATGAAAGTTATAGAGAATTCTTTCATCTTTTCAACTATATCAAGAACGTCAAGATCGGAATTGAATTGAGCGATATGCAGTGATTTTATCCTTGCAAGGTGGTTCCCATTCCTATACCACTACAAATGATGAAGGTTTGTAATTGTTGTGATTTCTACGTCGAGATTCACCGGGAGCAGTTAACATGACAGTTGCAAAGAATTCTTTCACCTTTCTGAGAATATCAATAAATTGAGCGATATGCGATAATTTTATCCTTGCGGGTGGTTCACCTTCCTATACCACCATAAATGATGAATGTTTGCAATTTTTGCGAGTTGTATGTCGAGATTCATCAGGTGCAGTAAGCATGAAAGTTGTAGAGAATTCTTTCATTTTTTCGATGATATCAAGAACATCAATAAACAGACAATAATTAAGCAATGTCCAATCATTTTATTGTAACAACTAAATTTATTATATATATATATA